CTGCACCATCCTGACACCTTCTCTAACATCAACTAGAGGATAGTTGATCTGATTCCCAAGAAGTAAAATAAAAAACATTGCCTTGCAAAGTAGGAACAGAGGCTTCTCACACCTAAACTTTTCCTTGCTTAAAATGAGTTGAATGACTTCTCCCATCAGAACATACCAAAATAGGATTCTCCAAGTATGAAAAACTTTTGCTGGCTTAAGATTGAGAATATTACATCTCTGAAATGCTATTAGTTTTCTGGAATTGAACCCATCCTTCATTGGTACTTTTCTCAACTTTATCTTCTGAGTCTAACATACCTTATTCCATTTCAAAGATTACAGTTAAAGGACAACACATCCAGACTTGCACAAAATCCATACTTTTCTGTATTTTTTAAATCCTCTTGGAATTTGTAAAAGGAAAGAAGACATCATGTATCTATCTCAAACAGTTTCCAAGTCATAGGTGTTTGAAATGAGGTTATCAGGCCAAGACCCTAAAATTTGACATAATTTCAGACAGGATGTTTTTGGACTAAAGACATTCTGTGAACCAAATTTACAGCCAAATGTGAGAGGATAGTGAATTAAAATACCTGTTCCATTGGGTAAGTTGACACAGAATGACCCAAATTTACCTTCAAGTTGTTGAGGAATATATCCTGTGGCAACATGATCACTTCTATCCAATGAAAGAACATGCTCCATGCCTCACTTACTTCTATTCCATTAATTGTTCTTATAAATTATATCAATCCAATTCTTTTCAATGAAGACAAGCAGCACAAGGCATTAAAAGAATTTTAACAACAAATCAGTTTTCCTCTGCACCTTCAGCATTAAAACATTTGAATATGTCATAATGTAAATCCATTGCTTTTGGTGATGTTAAGAATCTCTCAAAAAAATTTTAATCAAGCTTGAAGGTTGTTGGTACCCAGAGGCTTTGCAACTTAAAGTGACCTTATTGCTGTCACTAAGAATAAATTACCCCCCAGATGGCACTCAAAGCAGAAGGCTGAGGAGCTCTAAAGGGGACCTAAAATATTGCAACAGTCAGGAAATGCAAGAAGATCCATAGAGTATAAGATACTGCAGTCTCCTCATCAAATTTTCTTGTTTTAGCAACATATAACTACATTACAAAAATGATTCTGAATTACTGACCTTGATACAAGCAGTTGAAGATTGAAGGTGGCATTTATGATGATGAAATGTTCTTCATACTGATTCTCCTTGAACTCAATGGCTCAGAAAGTGATGATAGAGTAGCCAAATCTGCCATTCCATGGTCTTCAGGATTGCCATTCTGATATTGGACAGGCCTCCCTAATGGGGATTTGGTGGGTCCATCAAATGCAGGTACTTGCTGATCAATTCCACTGCATAAATACATTGTCACAATATAAGTTAAGGGAATAGCTAACTCCTGCAACCTATGTTAATATGTATTACATGCTGCAATGTACACTTCCTGTACTGGAGACCAAATAAATCCTCACATCTGAAGGGGGGAAGAAATTTAAAATAAACAGTTTCAAAAAGAATACCTCAGCATGGATATCTGATGCAGAATTCTTCTTTAGCAGCGGCAGATTGATGCTCATTGAAGCTACTTGTGACAACCAACTCAATGTAACTTGAAGTAATTCTCCATCAGATAGAATCCAGGAACTACCACTAGTGTAGAGACTTCAGAGACCCTTCTTCTTCCTATTTCTTTTTGGGAGCATCTCTATCTTCCACATGAATTTGCATTTCTTGCTCCCTAGAGCATGTCACAATGGGATGCTTTTCTTGGTCACCTACTATTTGCACAGTATGTAATCACCAACCACATCCTCAACAGTCAATCAATTTGATACAACTCCTCACTCTGGTTCTTCCAGAAGCATCTGCTTCAACTAAAATAAATGAACGGTGGCCACACATATCAACTGTACCTACATGCCATTCCTGTCAAGTATACTTTCCTGGTGTTGGTCACAAAGGCATTAGGCATTCGCAAAGAACATTGACATGCTTGCTTCACATAATTTCCTTCAGGTCTGAAGAGCAATCAAAATGAGGGAGATCAGTTATGCTCAGGTACAAGGCTCACATTTTTTTTGTCCTGAAGAACCAATGCAAGCTAATCTAAAAAAAAAAAAATGCAGCACATTGGTACAAGTTTTCACCACAGGATGGTATATATTGGTTACACTACATGCTTCAAATTAACAGAGTACACTTCAGCAGAAAGTCATGTTCTTCCTGACAACACAAAGGGCTTCCTTGGGGAAGCTAGTAGTGATGGTTCATTGATTTCTGTCTACTTATGTTAGCACTATGGTGACCATAACTTCTGTTGATATTCTGTTAGGCCAAACATAAGCCGCTGGCATTTGCTTCACAAGTTCACCTAGGTCCAATTTAAGCCTAGAACATGGCCTTTTAACTCATGGTCCTTTGGCCATTCTAATGTGCTGGCTAAATCCATGCCTGAAAAGGGCCTGGAGTAACTGAAGCCATAGGAATATATATTTTTTCAAAATTGCCAAACGTCGGCGAAATCTATTTCGTGCATCAAGTTCGCCGAATCCCAACATAACGTCACGGCCTAACGTTAGGCCTAGTCAAAACATGCGACATCTCAAACCCAGCTTTGACGTCACGACGAATTTTTTTTGCCACGTGCCGTCATACGATCCGCCACACAAAACTGCGACAATGATTTCCTGCCAATTTCCTACTACCATTGCATAGTCTTTCACATTTGCATTTGAATTCGTGTCACCTTCAACAAGAAAAAGTTTCAAGTTATACCTGCTAACTTCCATAATGGAAATAGCATCAGGCCAATGGAACCCATGTTGAAGGTGGTAGAATCTTTTATGTAAGGACTTTCCATGGATATTTGTGTTTCTTTAAGATCCCACAGGGTCCTTGAACAACGCCGAGTCATGCGAACAGAATAACGTTCGCCGGTCCCTGTTGAATCCACGATTTTCCTTCAGCCTTCGAACGATCTCATGGGCCGGACGGCTTAATTGTTTGCTGCCTTTTTAAAGCAATCGAACGACATCGGTCCTTCAATACCATTCAACGAAGAGCCTTACTCAAAACATTTCTCGAGAAATAATGAAGGCGGCGTTATCGTATCAGGGACTCATCCTCAGCCGTATGGACACTGGCGCCATCTCCATTTATTTTTGGCAGGCCCTTTTCCCTTGTGAGTGTGCTCGTTGGAACCTCTTGCGGTGTGGCGGAGTTTCCGAGCTGATCTAATCAAATCGATCCTATACATAGGGTGGAAACTTTCCAACAAAAAAAAATCTGGAGGCCATAAAGGAAATTAACGAGAGCTGTGAAGTTGAAACGATGCTGGATGAAAGTAAAAATGGTGATTTTTTTTCAGAGTTTCTTGTTTATTTTGAACAGGACCAATATGCCGCCAGTGACAAAAAAAATTATTTTTCCGCCTTTTCACTGATTTTGGCTTAGTTACTTCCGGGAACTCCAATGATTCCGCTCTCTTTCCTTCCATTTATCAGCGAGCGATGACCGAACCTCTTTTCGCGAAAGCGATCAAAACGAAATCGGAAAGAAAGAGCAATTGTTTCGCGAATTGTACGGGTGTGCCGCAATTAGGAACAAAAAAAAGCGGAATCAGTCGAGTTTCAGGAAACAAAAAAAAGTGATTTTTTTTTCAGTCAATGGTTTCATGTTGACTCCATTTCAAAATGAGCACGTGACTGAAAAAACTTGCACCTTTCGACTCTCATCGGAATAAGATATTTTTATTATTTATTTTCCCCAGGCCAGTGGCTTGAAAAACGACAAGGAAAGAATATCGTTGGGGATTGGATTCCCGTCCAGTGGAGGCCTTCACTTAGGCGCCGCTAGGTGTCTCTCATGCGGAAAAAAGTTGTTCATTATTTATTATTTGTTCGCTAAAGAAGGATTGAAACCGGGCGGTTGGATCGCGGAAAGGGACCCAACGCTACTTAACCGCTACTTCAAGCGGCATTCATTGCCACGAAAACTGAATTTTATAATCGAGTATCCGACGACACGATTCTCGGACGATGACTCACCTGATTCCTAGCCTCCCTGCAGCCACACTTTCCAGCTGGCGATTTCCCGAGGTTCCTTCATGGGGATTTCCCCGTCTGCGCCTTTTTCCCCGGGTCGCCTGCGATTGCGTCCATCGCGTCTTGGAGGCTTTCATCTTCTCGGGGAATGAGCCATAGATATAGTATTGCACTTGGTTAAAGTTGGCCTAAATTGTCATTGCGCAATATTGCACTCATCACAGCTACCTCTAGCTCCTTCCTCAAGGGCACGAACCTTCAAAGGTGAAAGCGCTTTCGATGTCAGCAAAAGTTCCTGGATGCTGCTTGACCTACCCTGTATATCCTCGTTCTCTTTCGATCTTCCATTACTTAGGTTAGTTTTCCGGAGGAAGCCAATATTTTGGGTCTCATGCGAATATTGGCACCGTGGGGGGGGTTGCATTACCCTTATCATCCCATGTGATCAACAAATGAACTCGGGGCAAAGTTAATCGGAGGATGTGGCAGACTGCGCGGATGAAAAATGAAATAAAATAAAATAAAAAATATCATAATGGTCCCAAAATGTAGAACCAAATCCCACTATGGCAGTAGAATCATCGCTCCATGTTGGAATTCTCATTTAGATCCGATTTTCAGTCTATTGCTCGCAACGTTTAGCTGCATTATATCTCATTATATTTGATGACAGTTTTAATTGAAAGACAAACTGTGCGTAGTGATTTGATGGTTGTCGAAGAAAATAATGTTCATTTCTCTGTCAATCGTTGTAAACATTCTTTCATTTTCTACTTTCATCTTTCATATCATATGACACATGAAACTTAGTAGGAGTCTTATCTGGTCTTTTTGTTTATCACATTCAGCTACCGGCATGCAAGCATTTTTCGCAGGTCGGGCGGAACGGCGAACAGGTGAAGCCATTCTCAGCCTGATATCCGCGTCAGTCCGCGATAGGAATCACCAGGCATAGGATTTCAATCGGCATTAGATGAATTCAGGTGCAAAAGAGCGAAAGATGAGGGGAAGACTCCTGCTCTCGGCGTGGCTGTCGCTCCTCGCAGGGCAAGGGGCCGGGGGGCTCGAGCTGTGTCCGCCGTCGGACGGGATCGCACCGTGCGCCTGCGTCGTCCATTCCACTCAGGTCGTCGATGTAGACTGCATGGATGCGGAGACGGTGGAGGATGTCTACCGGGCCTTCAATGGTGTGACATGGGAGTTCAAGAACATGACGTAAGCTTACTGTAATACAAATACTCTAGTACAGGGGTGGTCAAACTGCGGCTCCTGGGCATTTGAAGTGCGGCTCGCGGTGAAATCGCCAATGTAGAGAAATGCCAGCTCGTTTGTTCCAAAGGATATGTAATCACCAGATCACAATGAATCTTCTCCAAATTCGAGTCAATCATCAAATTCTTGCTTTTCATCTCATCAAATATGATTATTCCATCATAGGTTCTATATCAGCAAATTTGCATGAGTCCATACCAAAGCATATGCATCCATGAATAACTCATGAAATTTTCAACAAATGCGACTATATCAAGGAATTGCTTCTCTTTCATTTCTTGTTAGACCTGTGATGGCAAGATGAGATTGGTAATATCACATCAAACCTCGGGGGGCTTTCGGGGGAGGACCTGCCTAATTGGTTTACCTGTGTTTGTGAACTTGCATGGGAGTGCGGTACGGCGCTGACTTTCAGTTTTTGCGTCAGTATTGCATTAGAGGTGACAGTATGCATTAGAAGTTCTAGCAACTTTAAGTTTTGAGGTTCGGAAAAATCCACGAGAATCTAACCAGCAAACTTGAGCATTGGGACGACTCCAAGAGAGCAAGACTATCCCTGTGGGTTGTCAAAGCTCTGTATTTGGAATGCACTGGTCCAGTTGGGTGAAGGCATGCATTTACAAGGTTTTACTGGGATGCGAACCCCCATCCTGGGGCTTATTTCATGGAATTTAGAGATTCTACAAGTTACAATTAATTACAAGGGTCGTGTCGTAGTCGTACAAAGGGCCAGCGGAACCAGCTGGAAGGGTTAAACAAGAAGACACGACCCTTGCAAGTACTTGTAACTTGAAACTCGTAGGACTTTTTAAATTCCATTAAACGGGCCCCTGGAGGTTGTCGTTCCTTTGCAAGCTCGATCTTTTCCAATTGTACAGAAATGAGAGGAAGATCGGTAAGGCCTGCGTCTGCCACTGCAGGCCTGTCAATTAAGAAATTATTTTTATTTTGGCATGTGAAATATCATAACTTGCTGCTTATTCGATAAAGTTTGATGATCAATTTTACGGCGTCTGGTGAAAGTACTAACGGACAAATTGAAGTTAGATTCATCAAGTCTGATGGTGATATAATTTCAGGTGAATATAATAAGAATTTGGTGATGTAAATGAATTGTGTGACCAAATGAAGCATTCTAGGGATAAATCATTACCACCTCGCGACGGTGTCAATATTGTTTGTAATGAATTAAGTACTCCCCGTTCCAAATCTGAGAAGCGCAGGCAACTTAGAAGTGTGCATACCCTGTTATGTGTGATATACTGTAGTTGTAGTATAGAAAACAAAGATATCTCTCTTATTTGAGGATTTGAGTTTTCACTGCATTCCCTCGGATTCTAACTTTTTCTGGATTCCTAGAGCGATCTATACTGGCATGCGTATCTGTAGAAACAGGAAGCCTAAGATGGTGATAGGGTTTATATTAAAACTTGCTGAACAGGTGTCTACATTTTACACGGATAATAATAATGTTGCATTTCAAGATTTCACAAATTAACTAAGGAAGATAAACGAAGTAAAGGGATGGAAACGAGGTCTGCCGATAGGCTCTGCCCAGTACGAAGAGGAGTGATCACTGGAGAATACGACTCAGTTCACACAGGGTGCGCATTTTTTTGCAAAATTAGAGTGTTGACCTTAGAGGATGCGTATTTTAAGTGGTGCATGTCTTGTGGCTCTCAGTCAATGGAAGATTTTGTTATACGGCTCGTAAGGCCAGAAAGTTTGGCTACCCCTGCTCTAGAACATCCAAGGAATGGCAGAACTGCTGTAAATCATGGAGCCTCCATAATGATATTCTCTTATAATATTTTATGGTATGCCAGCGAAATTTAGCAAAATAAGGGAGGCCAAATTTAAATCAGTTATTTAGTAAAGGAGATATCAATCCATAGTTTCGAAATATTGACAAATTCAATTTCGACCTTGACGGATTGTTAAGGCCAGGTTTCAATTTTTAGGTGAAATTCCCCTAATTTCCCTTTTGTTGCATTTTTTTTTTTGCTTTTTCAGGCGCTTTTTACTACATGATTTGGAAATCGAAGATTTTCCAGAGGATGTGCTTGGGGACGTTTCCTTCCAAGATATGCAGTTGCTAGACAATGTATACCTCCGGAGCATCCATCCCTCTGCACTTCTCCCATCGAGGGATCGACTTGAAACTCTCACCCTGCAGGGGTGTCATCAGCTCAGTTCTTTCCCGTTTGAGATCCTTCCAGAAATGGAGGTGCTGAAAAATTTGCTGATAACTTGCAATAACTTCAAAAACGTCCCGGCCCTTCGCAGCGACAGCCTGAAAACTCTGAATCTCTGGGACGGTCAAATAATTTCCTTGGAAGGGGGAGCCTGGTCCATGCAAAGTCTGACAACCTTCGTAATCGGTATGAGGATACAAAAGAATGATACCTTGAAAAGTATTTTCACGGCTTCTTTCGTCGATTTCAAGCCTCTGGTCATTCCTTGGTGACTATGCTGTCGAAACAGTACACTTATTATTTTTTATTTTCTTTATATTGTCTATTATACAGAGTGGCCCATTTAAAAGTGGACTCGGTATCATACCACTTACAACGGGTGCTCATTCACTTCCAATAACATTAGCTGCCGCTAACTACTGCCGAGCGGGTCCACTTTAAAATGGGCCACCCTTTATTATCTATAAATGCTATTCTATTCTAATAAGTATTCCTTATATCTTTAGAAAATTATATTATATTGCAGTCTGCTTTCATGTCAGGCCGTGTCTAAAAAGTTTATTGATCCTAGAAGATAATAATTTGCCATCGTGGATACGGACCATTATTGTTCTATTTTTTCCTGCGCCATTATGAGCAAGAGGCTTGATCATTTACGGAATATTTGAGTTGGTATCCAGGCGTCAGGAACATATAAATGCTATGATTTCGGAACCGGAAGGCCAATCAAAGAGGAGATTGGTAGGAGAGAATGGAAGCTCTCATCATCTCGGCCTGCATGGTCATGATGAAACTTCTAGTTGAAAGACGCTAGGCATTACAGTACGCACACAGGAACATTTTTATTAGTCTTTCGCGACAGCTTCTCACTCTCATAGCGGACGCTTACAATGCATGAACTCCGCGTTTGGTACGCTTCCATCATTTTTCAGTTGTGGAAGTCCAAAGTTTGATATCTACTGATCTCGTGCTTCTAAACTTCTGGAAGTACAATATTGGGATCATAATGCTACTCTTCTACCGCCGCTCTCAGTACACAAACTGTAACGCTAAAGGCTCAAATGGTATTGACGGATATGGTACCAATGTACATGACTTGATACAAAGTGCTTTTAAATTGCAAGCGTACTGTCAGTACTTGTGGGTACTAACTAGTACTCAGGGAATATCAGAGAAGTACTGTGCCGACCTTGTGAAATGAAGAATATGTATGAGGTGTGAACTTACACCTGTAGATATGGGCATACTAGGAATACATAAGGGTTCTCTTCTTTGCGGTACTCAGGACTGAACTAATTCTAAAGATATTTTTTAATGTCTCCAAAACATCTTCGGCTTGCCCTAAAGGCATGCAAGTCTCTATGCTGTCCAACTGGGAGTAGTATTCTGTGGAAATATGGCAAGCTACAGTTTTGTGAAAAACACTAGACCCAACCGGTAAAGACTGCCGGTACCGCTATGGGTGCTATGGACATCAAGGCCTGTTACATGTCCAATTATTTCCTGGGAACTTCAGCCGATTACGAGAAAAAAAGACTGAAGTTATCTTATCCTGTCCCAGCAACATGACTCTCGGGTTCATGTGATTTGGTTCGTCTGAATTCGCTGAAGCAGAAATATTCGCTGCCATCCATGCTCTGGAAGAAAGCCGTTCCCACACAACTTATCTAATAATATAACGTGCCATCAGGTATCAGTCACTTAATTTCCAGAGGCAAAGATGCTTTTGGGTGCGACAGGTAAAGCCGTTGGCATCCTGACAACGCGTAGGTTTAAAGATTTTTAAAATAGATAATTCTTAACTCTTGGCTCATTTCTCATCTATTGCTAGGAGACATTTGAGTAACCACTGATGAAGGATATGAGAGAGGATTCCAGCTCTAGTCCTGGTTGTCCCTTTTTTTTCCCTAGGACCTAGTGAACTGGAAGTGTCCTTCGTTGACTGCGATTGCACCATCTATTCCACTCAGACCATAGACATAAATTGCATGGATGCAGAAACATTGGAGGATATCTATCGTCCCTTTGACGAAGTCACCTTAAATTTGAAGGAAATGTGGAAAGCTCAAAAAAAGCCATCCGCACAGAAGTCAATCGATTGGATTGTGGCGTAAAGTAGTGCTGATTTAAAGTCTCTTGAAAACAGAGAAAACATAAGTAGAAAAACCTTGGAATCTATCGGCGAGTAATGAAGATGTAGTCCATAGATTGGAAGAACGCAGAAAATTACAGCAGAAGAATCACGTGTTTCACCTCGGTCTATGATGTATCTCTGTGTGGTATGGACTCGTCCCAACAGAAAGGAGTTCCCTACAAGTACGTAGATGGTCCTTTTGGTAGTACCAGGAACTGAACAAGTAATGGAAGCAAGCACACGTAAGTAGCTTAACTTGAAAAATCCCTAGTTTGCCCCACAGCAAAGAGACATGGTAACTTTTTCTTGCAAAGGAATTTGTTTATATTCGTTACTATGAAAAATGTCATTCATACGCCGATATAGTCGAGGCTACCAGTCCCTCAGAGCTGTGGTAATCCTGGCCGTTGCTAGACCTAGCCTTGGCCTGTACCCTCATTCACTTTCTCCAGAGCTTTCAGATCATTGCATTGCATCTGATTCATTATTCACGTGATTAGATCTTAGTTTTTCCTAGTTTTTCACATCACAGTCACATCTTAGTTTTTCATGGTGAGGCAGTTTGGAAGGTAGCTACTGTTGCAATACTTAATATTTCCGTGCGCCACTAGGCAACCAGCTGCCAGCGCTTTTGTTTCCCAAGGTCTGTATGGGTTTCAGCCCGACAGGTGAAGCAATTCGCATTCTGATATCACGATAGACATTTTTTTACGACAGGTGAAGCAATTCACATTCTCATATCCTATTATACGTGTGGGGTGCCAAATCACTGAGCTTCAAGCTTATTCTACACCTCGATGACATTTGAGTGATCGTAAGAGCGAAATATGAGGGGATTCCTGCTCTTGGCTTGGCTGCCCTTTCTTGCATGCCCCGTGACCGATGGTCTTGAAATGTGTCCTCCATCGGATGCAATTGCACCCTGTGCATGCGTCATCTATTCTACTGAGGACATCGATATCGACTGCATGAATGCGGAAACAGCGGAGGACATATATCGTGCCTTCAATGATGTCACTTGGGACTTCAAGGAAATGCGGTGAGCTCCCCAAATATACAGATTATATATATTTTTATTGATCATGGGCCAAAGAGAAGAGCCTAGTACAAATTGCGAAAATATTCTGGTAGAATTCATGGATGAAAACTTCCCTTTAAGACCCACATATGGCAATTTTTTGTCCGTGGACCAAGGGTAGGAGTTAGTAACTGGAAAGAGCTAAGTACTTTATTAAATAAGAAAGTGCTAATTCTGACTAGTTTTTAAATGATATATCGTCGAATTAATTTCTATTGATAATACAGGTACCGGTGATTGTGTACCGAGATTTCAGTGCCTGATATAACGACAGTTGATCTTCATGGCGGTAGTGCTCTGTAATCAGGGGCTCCAACAAGAGGGGAGGGGTAGGGTATGGTAGTGGGCATTCCTCTCCCCCTCCCACCCATCCCGAAAGGGGTTGGTGGATAGGTGGGCTTAACGCTAAGAAGAGACATGTAGGAGAAAGAGATACACCACCACACTAGCATGCAAAAGGCTGTTGACTGCAGAAAATCACCTCATGCCTAGTTCTCCCCTTTCCTCTCGAAAGCATTTGGTGGAGAAACCATTTAACTTGGGAGAGAACGAATAAACTGTCCTAGTCAAGTGGTCCAACTTAGCATGAGACTTCACCTAATTTTGCGAATAATTTATTCTCTACAGAAGTCACTTTTTCCGGAAAGGAAATATGAATATTACTTTCAAAATAAAAGAATTAGTGACTTTGCTTAAATATATTATTTGAATAACTCTCGTGATACTCACTGACATGGAAATGCAAATCTGTAGAGACAGAATAGAATTACTGGAATAGATAACGGAATGGAATTCTCCTGCGCAGAGCGATTATCTCAAATCAGCTCAGGAGTAAAGGGAAAGATACCAATTGTTCATATTTTAATGAAATTCTAAGTTGAACATGAAAAATGTGGACAACGTTTTCGTTTTACAATAAACTTTCAGACGAAGTCGTCACATTCAGCCGGCTCACAAGACAGTATTGGTTTATTTTCCTATTACTATAATTATAGGATGACTTACACTAATTTCAGGTTTTCGTTTCTTCTTTAGAATTAATATAATTTTAAATTCATGAGGTAACCTGCATCATGGTATCGTACTTCATGGGGTAAGATATGACTAATAGTAGGTAGCTATGATTAAATAGGAGGTTTTAAGTCCAAATCTGCAGCCTAATCAAGGAAAAGGAAGCCAACAATTACGCGATTTCAAAACCTAAATTCTCTCCATGTCAAGTAAAGTTAAATAGGTGAAAGCCGTTTTTCAAAGGCATTTTCATTCCAACCCCTCCCCCCTCCCTCTCCTCTCCTCTTCCCTCTCCACGGGATCCACAATAAGGATAGGCCCATGAAAGTAAAGATAGGTCTATTTGTTGTTTTTCGAACCCTCTTGACGAGGTCTGTGGACTCCGAAATTCAAATGAATGTTGGACACCTTCATTAGCAGGGACGTCAATGTCCATATCCCACCACGTAAATCGCCACGGCTAATCACTGTTTCAGTCTCTCCTCATTCAATGAAATAAGCACAAAAACGTACAAAATTAATAATAATTAAATAAAAAGAAATAGAAGACCCAAGCACCAATGCGAAAGCAGAAGCAGTCATGAATTCGACATAACTCGAGCACGATATCCGGCAACCCTGGGGGATGGGACTGAGTCGCAAGTTAAGCCAAAATGAACGTCATATGATTGAATTTTTCGTGGCGAAATGGTGCACCGTCAGTAACAAAAAGGGCACTTATCGTGCTCCACAAGTCCAAATGTTCATTTGGTGAGACATTCTTCAAAAACATCCCAGGAGGGGCTAGCCAAGCGGGTGGAGAGAAGGAAAAGAAAAGCATACAGGAATGAAATTCACATCTTCAAAAAACGTGATACAATGTTCTTTGCAATCCCAGGGGGATGGAGTTTCAAATTTTCTGGAGCGATTCTTTGCTGAGAGGGTAAGGCATGTCTCTGATGCTGGGTTATATTGATCTCTGTGAGAATAAATTTTTTTAGTATTGGCATCACTGCTGACGAGAATAATGATTTTCCCAACAAATATCCCCGTAGCCCTCTTTCATGTTGAAGGGAGCAGGTGAACGTCATCACCAGAAAGATATTGAGCCGATTTCTTATTTGGTAAGATGAAGCGAAAAAATGCGCAACTTGGGGAGCAATTGAGAGCAATGCACGATTAATACGGTAATGAACTAACGGCCTAGTTTTAATCAAGTTCAAAGATTTCTTAAAACAAGTCATGTCGAGCTTCAAGTTTTGTTGCTTGAAATTTAGGCTCTTTATCATTACAGGCGGTTTATCCTGAGAAGCTCGTTGATTGGGGAGTTACCAGAAGGAGTGTTTGCAGACGTCTCCTTCCAAGAGTTCATACTCTATGACAATATTCACCTCCAGAGTATTCATTCCTCTGCTCTTCTCCCGTCGATAGAACGACTAGAAGTGCTACATGCAGGAGGGTCCCACCGGCTCCATTTATTCCCGTTTGAAATCCTTCCGCAAATGACAGCATTGAAGGCACTCTACTTTGGATGGACTAACTTCCCTGAGGTCCCGATCCTCCGCAGCAACAGCCTGGAGACTTTGAATTTCTGGAACAGTCCAATCACTTCTTTGGGGAAGGAAGCCTGGTCCATGCCCAATCTAAAGTCCTTCATCCTTGGTTTGTGGACACGAAATACGTGACCGCAAGCTCATTCTGGGGCCTGCCTGCCATGACGCAGACCAAAAGAGTCAAATCTTGAACCATGAGTTCTCTGTCTAGATCGTTCAGAATCAAACCAAGAATCCCTTTTGCATGGACTCATCGATTTTCTGAATCAGTCTCCTCCTTCCTACGGAGGCTCGATAGAGAGGGGATGAGAAATGCTTTGAAAAGAACGAAATAACTTTACGCGGTTCAATGTCTATTATAACTTCAAATCATTATGTCCGTAAGAACTTGCATCATTCCGCCCTAAGTCGAGAATGAAGCCGGCGCTACATACCCATCAGAAAGGCACTGAAAATGTCAGAACTCGCTCATCCATTATGAGTTCGTTATGGAATTCCTGATGCCGGTCCTTTATGCAGCAAATGCGATAGATGCTTGAGGTCAGACATTCATCAATGCATGTCAGTTCCCGTGTAGATTTTTACCTCTGACGTAACTCTCCCTCACCAGTGATGGGACACATCACCAGACGTTCCAATCGACAGGAAACGGCATGAACACGAAACAAATGTGGACTACAAAACATGTTATATTTCCTCTCTTTCTGCTGAGTTTTCATGAAGTCTCTTGGGCATCAGGGAACATTAACAGACCTTGCCTAGTTCAAATAAAAAGAAGACTCGATAGAGCTCGTTCTTTATGAAACCGTATTCAGCAATCCAGTCATCCGGATTGGCGTTACAAAATTTTCTGTCTACAAAATCATCGGGCTGAAAATGAAGAATGAACTTGGATTGTAGCTTTGCAATATTTCATACATAAAGTAGCCGCCAGTTACCCCCGACGCACATGGGCCTCTAAACTGGTAGCAGATGAAGCCCATGCCCATTGATGAATTGAGGACTATCTGCGAAAGGGGTCTCGACAAGAAACCCCTTTCACGAATGAAAATTTTGGATGAAGTGACTTACCTGTCACATGAAGCATGCTTCTTCTCTTCTGAACTGAAGAAAAGCCAAGAATCACTCTCCTCTTGCCTGCCAGCACACCAGTGAACGTCTCCCCACACCATATCATAGAATTCTGCAGGAAAATTGAGAGACTAGACTCTACTCCTCTGTTGGTTGCCGACTCTGCTCCTGTCAGGTCACGTATGGCTCGGGACATTCATGTCGGCTGATTTGCAGGCAGGTCTCAGAATCGAGCTAGAACGTTTTACAGTATACGTTCTGAAAGTTTTACTGCTTTCTAAAATTTGAGATTAAGTGAGAACATGTTAGTTCCCATACCATATCAAGAAACACGTATGGAAACTCATATAGAAAGAAGATGGGTAAAATAGCGCCCTTTCTCTACCCGTCGAAGCAAGAGGAGACACTTAAGATTCCCGAAGAGAGAGCATGCTTAACACTTTCAACCCTAAAGCCGTCATATGACGTCCTACGCCCATTGTGCATTCAAGTTGTCAGGGCTGAAAGGGTAAATTTACGCGCAGCCTGAGGTTGAGATTCGTGCCCTGAGGCAGGAGGCCCCTTTCAAGAGTGAAACAAGGATTTCGACGCCCCAGGGCCTCGTCAAGGAGGCCCAAAGGCCTTTTCATCCTTAACGTTTCAACGCAGTAATCCATGCGTTCGCATTCATGCGCATTCGTAACGGAAGGGAACTCGCGCAAGTCCTTAGCAAATACCTTTACGTGCGAATCTGAGTCTCAGGCATTCGCAGGTAAAACAAAATGCATGGCTTAGGGTGAGAATTGGGTTCTGTTCAATTCCAAGCACGCAGTCTTTTCTCCTTCGTTCAAAATTGCGTGACCCTTTTAGCAAATGGAGTGTGCGAACTCGCGTGCTCTCCCGCCTAATGCAAATGAGCATGGATGGGAATTCATGAATGCATACGAGTGAACGCATGGAACGTATTAAATGCAAAGTGCTAAACGGTCTCAAGGCCAGATAGGATGGAGTTGATTCTCTTAGTGAAGCATGGCAATTACTGATTGTCAGGTGGTAGGTGAGCTACTTTCGGCTTCAATGCAAAATCAAGTCCGTGCAGGTGTGCATAAAACACATTCTTCTACTCTCAAGAGACCTTTCAGACACGGCCTTTAGATCGTACTTAAGCAGTTACGAGAGTTTCTCCTTTGGAGTATTAGTGCAGAGAACACCCATGTGCCGGCAATGATAAATCAATTTGTTGCAAGTCAACTCGGTAACACAACGGTAACAGAAACGGGCGTGATGAAAAAAAAAACTTAACATTGAAATGCCTTCCAATTTATTCGAAAAAAAATCATAAATCATCGATATCTACAAGTGAAGTACATGTTGGCATGGATTGTGTTGGTTGTGTTCCTTTTGGACCGACGATTCCTTTTTATTCGCCTTGGCAGAACCGAAAATAGAATGCATTGGCGAACTGAATTAATGGGCTCCAATGGGCCATGGTGGCTTGGTTGTTATCGCGAATCAAGCATTTTTTAATGCTTACTTACTCAGCACATTAAACCTCATTTCTCATGGCCAGCAAGCTCTGAATATCACGTTAATTTTTGTGCCGTGGCATATCAAAACGAGTAAGACTGAAAGTATGAGAACCTCTGCTAGAGACCATGTGAAAAAATCTTGGTAGTTCTTTCGTGCAAATTCTTGGCGTTTTTTCAGTTGAATTCCTCAGAGCTTCAGCTGTCTCCGCTGAATTCTTGATTTTTAGAGCAATATGGACAAGTTTTTCTTCAGAAACAGAACAATTCAAATGAAATTACGACATCCCAATACATTTTCTTTCTAATCGGGATCGATTATGAGCAATTAAGATAAATTTATAATCCAAAGGGAAACTGCAAGTGTCAGCTCATTATCTCTACTTACAGAAAATCGCGTCTCATTTGAATTTGGATGCGTCACGCAAGTTAGCACCTTGTCCACAGTCCAAAAACCTCTGGTCAAAATAGAGATTTCTGCCTACGAAAGTGAGACTTACACTCTGAGGTCTTGCTAATTTATTTGCGAGTGCACCCTATCCTTACTTAGTTTTGCCTGGATGGGTTTGGACTTATGATGGTTTCCACAATGCCTGGGGGAGCAATTTTCTCGTAATATGGTCTCGTGGTATTGCTCGAGCTGCTTCGCAACTTACTTGTGGTGTGTGGTGCTTGCGCCCCTTTCCCACAGGGAAGAACCGCTTGAGGGAGCTTCCACAGGGGCTGGTGACCAGCATGGAAAAATTGGTCACCTTCCAGTGCAACGAGAACCATCTGGGACCCCACCTTCAAGCAGACTATTTGGAGTTCAAAAGCCCCGACCTCGCCACTGTGAATCTGGACGGAAACGACATATCCACCCTCGCACCGGGCGCCATCACCGGTAATGCATCCTTCTTTTGCATCGGTCTTCTGCGATGAAACGATGATGAACGTCGATGTCTCATTGAGGTCTGGGTGCCAACACGACCCTCAGTCTCTACCGGAATTCCATCGAGTTCCTGGAAGAAGAGTCCTTCCGACCCATCGTGGAGGTCATGGTTTCTGGGACTGGGACATTGAATGTCAGAGGTATAGTGTAACACAATATTGTCATTACTAGGCTTCATTTCAATTCACAAGTAAAAAAATTCAATGAAAAATAAGAGGACATACCATTAGAACGAATGTAGTGGTTCTATTCCGAGCTAAGTGCCTGAATCAGAATGACTTCACCTTGCCGTCCCCATAAACATCTAGACAGAGCATCTAACCCTTTATATATCAAGCACCAGAAAATGATTAGAATCCTTGTAACAATTGGCCGGAGGACGCATAGATCTTCGTTTACTTATAAGTCTATCTTTATAGTCCATTTTGGTACTCCTACAGGTAATCCCTTGGCCTGTGGCTGTGAAATTCTTTGGCTGGTCACGAATGAACCATTTCGACCGAAAGTTCTGGGAACTTGCAAGGACGATTATATTCAACTGCAAGATTTGGATCCTCAGCCGTTCCTTGATCTCTGCACTGTCGGATAATCCCCTTCACCCATGAAAACCTGAAAGGGACAAATAAACGACGCAAGATGCATGACATGTCTTAGAACTACTCAATGGCGGCGTGCTCTGAGTTAACGTAGAACGGGGAAANGAGCACCTCCCATAACGAGTGATTCGCATAACGAGCAAAACAAAATGTAAAAAAATGACTCCCTTAACGAGCGATGTTTCGCAGAACGAGTGACGAGGAGACAACGTGACGTCACATGCAGGATCCTGCCTGCATCTCGGCTATCCTATTTTACATTGATTCCTATGGAAAAAATTGTTTCGCTTAACGAGTGTTTCGCATTACGAGTAAGATTCGGGAACAAATTATGCTCGTTAAGCGAGGTTCCACTGTACATGGTAAATATACCTAGACCGGACAGGCCAATGGAGAAAGCCAGGCAGTCGCACGCCGATTAGAAGGGTCAGCCGCCATCGCTCATGGCGTCAAATCGACCAATAAACGCATAGCTTTCCAATTCTTGACGTCACACTACACAGTTTTGACGCTTTCCAAGAAGACCGCGTAGGCCTAGACCTAAGCCTACCTGGTCTTCAGACGATGCATGGTATTTTGAAAATTGATTAATGCCACCCATTCCGTCATTATTTTCATTGCACTCAATAATAAGAGGGCGTATTATCAGTTCCCCATGCAGTTAGGCTTAGGGTCTACATGAAGCTGTTCAGCAGGCTATGAAAATTCCGCCACACCTAAGGTTAGACCCCGCAAAAGGTGTCAATAGTTACCAAGCCAGACTCATCATTGTAAGACCTGATACCCAACCCAGTCAGTGGTCTTTCATAGTGTACGAATACTGAACACATTGACCATGTGCCTCATCCTCTCCTTGACGCCATCAGTAATGGCTGCCAGCCCTTCAAATCGGCGTGAAATCTTGGACTGCCATGTCCTGTCTAGGTATATTTACCATGTCTCTGGATCCATCAACGTAACACGCGTGCCTCGTTGAGTCCGCTGTTCGGCCATGGAGTTGTTGATATGCGCACGCTAGGGAAGGATCGACAGCAACATCTACAGTATATAGCGATCCTGTCAATGAATGGGATTCGCCCCGAGTGTCTCCTCTAGTTGCACTCTCCATGCCTTCAGGACAGGCCTAGGCCTACCTTCTTTCGCTCGAAAGAAACTCAATCCTCCACTTACGTGGGCAAATTAGGCCTATAAGGATCAACACATGGTCTCACACATCTCGTCGAGGACGTGTAACGTTAGGCCCATCTGGACCTCGTTGAACCGGTTCGACCAGGTCTGAAAGATGAATCCTCCAGTGGCCATGAAATGCATAATGGTGATATAGCCACAACTGCGCCTATTGATTTATGGCGCAATCCTGTTCATTCAGGGTTGTCCGTATGAGACAGCTTGATATCTCGCCACATCGATAGGCCACTGCTAAACACCGTTTCATTCTCAGCACGAAAATGTCACATACATAATTATAATTAAAAAAGCAGAGGATCCAGACACCGATACGAAGGTCGAAACAATCGGATATAACTCCGGCACGATATTCGGCAACAGTGTGGGGGCATGACTAGAGCCAGCATTCTAAACCTAAATGAACTACAACTAATCTAATACTTTAACTCGAAGAGCCCGAAAGTCGTGGTGGTGGTGGTGCCTGACATTCGAACGCGTGAGGCTTATCATCTTATCTTATTTCCATAGGCTTCATACTAAGCTGTTCCAATTAAAGGGTGCTACTGAGTGCGTGTCACGTTTTCACTGATCGACTGCAAGTTCTCCATTTCAATGCATTCTTAGTTGAAGTATGTTATTATGTATGTATTTTTTTTCATTAGGTCGGCCGTGGCGGTTCGCGCCATCGCTGCTATGCTATGGTTTTCTGTTTGTATTTCATGTAATGGCCGATTAATTTGAGTTCTCACGATTGATGAAGTCAAAATAATCACTTAAGTTCTTTGTTTCGTATTTCGCGCAAACGGGCCGCTCCTCCCATCAAAATGGTGGGATTTTTGCGAGGTGAGGTTGAAAGCGAAGAAGAAATGTTAAAGGATCTCCCACAGGTCGGCGATGAGGCAGTTGTTGCTGGTAAAAAACGGTTGGTGCAGGCTCGGAAACAACGTTTGCCATCGCAGTGTGAAGTGCCTAAATCGGTGCTAGCCGTAACGGCTAGAATCAGTGATGAACAGCAAGCAGATGTACATAGGGTCGATCGGACCGCTGAACAGCAAGAGGCAGCGAATGCAGAGCTCCGGAATAGGAGAGCCGTGCAGCCTGCTGAGCAACTTGAAGCAAGGAACGCAGCACTCAGGTGTCGAAATCCCGGGGGGCGGCCGGGAATTGAACCCGGACCTCCTGCTTGCCGGTCGGGCGTGCTACAATTACACCACGGAACTCGGGACATTTTGTCATGCCTCTCAATGTCATCTCAACAACTACAGTCGTTCGCCGCAGCAAGCGCTGTCAGGCTGTACATTTTGCTGTAGGGAGAGGGCATTTGTTTCACATTGCTGCTACAACGGAAAAGTGCTCCTGCTGCAACTTACACTTAACACTTACACTGTTTCTCTCTGGTGCTAATGTTGCGGCGAGGCATTTTCAGGAATTATTCGTTAGTATTGTGCCGCACTATGCGCTAACTTCCTTCAGTGCTAGAGTCAAACAAGTTCTTGGAAATGGCCCGTACTGTTTCAGAATCTGTGGTACCTGTACCATAAGCTAATGCTAATAGCCCATGAGCTAATCGGTGATGCAAGAGTATTGAATTTGCTGGGCCAACGAAATCGGCAAAGTCGTCTTGAGTCTCATGAAAATCTGCTAAACTGAGGCGTTCACAATGGCGATTGGGGCAATGAGCTCGAATATCGTGATGATGGTATTTAGGAACAAAGTCTCCCTGTGTGCTGTTATCTGTACTGCATGTGTATAAATTTAATGAAGCGGTTCATTTCCGAATGGGTAATGCGAAGAACAGAGGCTTGTCAAGGAGACGTTATGCTCACAATAGACGCTTCAAATTTCCGCCTATTAGACGGCCAGCGTAGCGGCCGCAGGCCGCTAGTATAATAAAATCCACCTTGGTCCGTGGTGGCGGTGGCGGCGGTGGTCGGTGGCATGCGCGCGCACACATGACACACGCGTGCGCTCAGCGCCACGGCGAGTGCTCTCCCCATAGAGTCTTCTGCCCGCTTCTGCCTGCCTCTGGGTGGATGTCTCCCACTCTTGGGCTCACTTTTTTTTCCCTGCCGTTGCGACTGTCGGATCTATTCTCGAGAACGTAATAGTCCCGAGGGGAGGGGTCCGACAGGGAATTTTCCACAGGGAAGTGTAAAATGTCTTTGGGTTGCCCTTTGTCTTCGCTCGCCGTCGGTTCCCGGTCCTTCGCAATGACGATTAACGAAGCGCTGGGGCAAGCATAGATATTAGGGGGCTTTTGCCGCGTCTTGTCTTCTCGCATTGCCAGCCAGAAAGCAGGAGGGCGGGAGTGTGCCTAGTTGGTGATTTTAATGCTTACACTAGCACCCTCCTTGACCATATTCCACTTGACTCTGGACGGTATGGACCGGACTTCCAAGAGGAGCTCTCTCCTTGGGACATTACCATCAAGGATTTCCCTGAGCGTCTTAATGCAGACCATCACGAACCAAACGACTACGGTCGACGTCTCCTTACTCTGTGTTCTGATACTGGCCTTAGTATTGTCAACGGTCGCATTGGCCACGATTCAGCCGTCGGTCATCCAAAGCATATGACCAAATCCAGTGGTTCTATGATAAATTACGTGCTAGTGGATGAAACCTTCCTTAGCGAAATTTCCGAATTCCAAGTCTCATCACGACTCGAGTCTACTCACATGCCATTATTTTTTCAAATACGGAAATGGCACTCCTCAGATAGACTAAACGACGCAACCGCAACAGTATATTTCCTTGAAATAAGCTCAGCAGCAGCTGCATCGACGACGCCGCCGATAAACTACTGACAGCGATCCAAATAACAAGCAATGACACGAATTCTCCGCCGAGGCCAATTGGACACCATCGCGGTGAACGTGGTTCGATGAAGAATGCAACCTGTACAAGAATATTGTCTACGAAATCTGAAAAAAAGAAGTTTCAACACCAGAAGAATATTGTTCAGCTCGCTCTCGATATCGTCGCAAATTGGAGAAGTAAAAAGATGTCTATCGGCACCAGCAACGCTTGGATATGAAGAGAGCTATTCAAGAAAACGACGAAGGGAAATTCTGGCGATATTTCCGACAAAAAAATTAACTGTATTTGAAGGTATCCCCACTTCCCTCAATTCAGGATCGACGAGATTCGTTTTTTGTTCTTCGTGCGAAATACAGACACCTTGAAGTCAGGATCAGCCCCAGGAGCCGATGGAACCACCGCAGACTTTTACAAGGAAGAATCCCTGAACTGCGATTTTGCCTAGAAAAGCTTCTCTAGAAAAGACGCTGTCAAGCCCTGGATTGAGGGAGTGGCTCGGGGGAGGCCGTACGTGTTCCAGCAAGACTCTGCTCCCTCTCACACAGCCAGCACGACCCAGGAGTGGCTGGCCGAAAATTTTCACGATCATGTTACCCCTAACATTTGGCCTCCTAGCTCTCCTGATTTAAACCCCCTGGACTACTACGTCTGGGGCGTCGTTGAGAGGGAGACCAACAAGCATGCCCATAATACCAAGGACTCGTTGAAGGCTGCCATCGGGGACATTATGGCAAACATAAATAAGGATCACCTGATCAACGCATGGCTTCCGTCCCTTTCGTTCGCCCGCATCAGGGGTTAGCTAACCACTGGATGGTGGTCCGTGCTGGGTTAGGCCCCACGCTTTCCCCCGAATCCGTTATCAGGTTCCATGAGTCTGCCGAAACATTCAGTTTCAAGAGGCTCCTTAGCGCCGAGCTAGACAGAGGCCTTCGTGGGATTTAATTCATACCACGGTCTCCCGAATCATCGTGGTTCATCCTCGCGATGAGGACGCTAACCATCGAAGAGCTCAGTATATAATGCCCGTAAAAAAAAAAAAAATTAATTAAAAAAATGTAAAAACTGACCCAAAGGCCTGACCGGAGGTGTGACAGCAAGGGGGATGCACAGGG